AGATGGGGTGACAGTACTCCAGATGGGGAAGCACTTCACTCCTGAAGATCGTTACGAGGACGGACCGTCTAGATATCTGAACGACCTTCTTATAAGACCCAATAATTTATTTGCCTGATTTACCTTCTTCTCGCAATGGCCCGAGAACTTCAGCTCATTGTCAACATACACACCTAGGTCCTTCTCACACACAGTCTCAACTAGTGCAGTTTCTTCATCCCGTTGGGACATATGATACGCCTCCTTACCGTTGGTACGCCCCAGGTGCATCCTCTTACACTTCGTGACATTGAATCTCAGCAGCCATTTCTTCGACCATTCCTGGAGCCCACAGAGGTCGTTCTGCAGCTCTTCACAGTCCGCTTGTTTCTTAATTTCCCGAAATAACTTGGCGTCATCGGCAAACATTTGTATGGAGGAGTGTACAACGTCAGGCATGTCATTTATGAAACAAACAAACAACAGCGGGCCCAATACACTGCCCTGTGGTACCCCACTTGTGACAGGTACAGATGACAATTTCATGCCATTAATCACCATACACTGCTTGCGGTCATGTAGAAAGTCTTCTATCCACGCTAGGACATTTCCCCGAATTCCGTACCCTTCCAGTTTGATTTTCAGCCTTTCATGGGGTACACTGTCGAAAGCCTTGGCAAAATCTAGGTAAATATTGTTGATATTACCACCCCGTTCCAGAATATGGGTCCAAATATCCAATACCTTGAGCAATTGTGTTAAGCAGGAGCTCCCCGGCATATAACCGTGTTGGCAAACTTTTACAAGGTTGTTTCGTATTAGATGTTCCATTGCGGCATCTCTGATAACACTCTCAAGTACTTTACATATTATGCTGGTCAGGCTCACCGGTCTATAGTTGTTCGTGGAGTGACGATCGCCCTTCTTGAAGATAGGACTCACATAAGCCACTTTCCATTCACTGGGGACCATTTGTTCATGCAGGCATTTACAAAACAGGATCTTCAGGGGCTCTGCAAGCTCGTTGCACAACTCTCTTTGCACTCTAGGATGCACCATGTCAGGTCCGGGACTCTTATGGACCTTTAGCCTGGACAGTTTATTTCTAATACCCTCTTCTGTGAACACAATGTGGGTCAGTGCTGTGTCGAACCGTCTGTCCTCAAATGCAGGTAGGTTAGTTGCATCCTCTCTTGTGAACACCGAGGAAAAGAAGCTGTTCAATGCCTCAGCTTTATCCTGGTCAGAATCTGCGTAACTACCATCCACCAGCCTCAGGTCTGATACTCCTACTCGCGTTTTCAATTTCGACTTTGCATAGCGGTAAAACGCCTTTGGGTTTGACTTGACCTCGCTTGCAACCAGCCTTCAGACTAGAGAGAGGACAGTAAGAAAGACATGTGAGATTACAGTAATCATATATGCACTTGAATTTTCTCTTGTTTTTGTGTCCTCGAGGTTACTTGCATATTTCATGTATCACGTGTTCTCTGATTCTTTTCCTTTGTTAATCTGGTTCATTTTTTAACTGTTCGCGAATTTTTCCTTTATGTTTTTAGTATGGTACAATTTTTTATGCATCAACGAAGGTACAAAATATTACTATGCTGTTTCCGTAGTAATGGAACCGAATCTTAGCACTCTTGAATATTAAGATAAAACCATATTTCTTACATAGAAAGCGAAACTATATGACTTGACACTCGGTGTTTATCGAGTCTGATACGCAAATAATATAGCATGTGGATCAGGAACCTCACTAGTTGTCCTTCAGGGGCGTTGATCATACAAGGATAAGCTAGTCCGTGGTGGTACTTTTTATTATGGTTGGAGAAATACAAAACGCTATCAATAACACAAAATTCAAACTCAAGTCTATGAACATGACAATAATTTGTCTCTAGGAACCTGGTATACTGTATACCCCATAGTGAAGGTGCCATGAAAACACACGCACCTAACAAAAATTATGACAATGTAAAGTTCCAGTTATTGAGCCAGAGAGATATGTCACGCAATTGTCTTTAGAAAAACTAAAATAGGTTCGTATTCTAGACATTCACGTAGTTCCAGTCATGAATTACCAAGGGTTACTTGCAACATCAGTGTTACTTGCAAATTGGAATTCTTGTCTAGTTTTGGGTAAGAATTTGTTAACTTTAATTTATTTTTTCAGACCTATAATGTTTTCACCATTGTTTGTATGTCTGCACTGTCTATGAACACAGTATACCTGCATTGCCACCTCACTTAAGAGGTGGCGGAGGTAGCCTTTCCATTTATAAATCTATTACATTGAAAACTGTATTCATGCACAGGGAGGACCAATTTGACGTTCGTGAGCATTTTCGGGGCTATTGACATAAACACACCAAATTTCAGCGCTATCTTGAAAACCGTGGCCATGTATAGTATATTAAAAAATATATAAAATTTCAATTGTTTTTAATGAGAGGATACCACCTCAGGAGGTGGGGGTCTACCACTAGGGCCAACCCTAACGTAACTTAAATTTAACCTAAACTATTTTAGTTTTAATCTGGTTATCTTATGGTGATGAATAACGTCCTAAATAAAACAGCAAATTTGGCCACACACACACACACACACACACACACACACACACACACACACACACACACACACACACACACACACACACACACACACACACACACACACACACACACACACACACACACACACACACATATATACATATATATATATATATATATATATATATATATATATATATATATATATATATATATATATAGAGAGAGAGAGAGAGAGAGAGAGAGAGAGAGAGAGAGAGAGTGCGGCTACTAATCTTTCCCCCAATGCCGCAGGGGCGGGGAGGGTAGGAAGCTCAAGGGAAAACCAGGAAGAAAGGTAAAGGAACTTCAGCCTTCAGTATTGCTTTTTCCCAATAATATTAGAGACTCTGGGGCACTAAGGTCCTGACGTTCCTAAATGAGCTGGGTTACAGGCTTACTTAAACCATATCAAAGTTGCTTGTTCCAACGTCTTAACATAACGATTCAGCGATGGAATACTTGTTGCATAATGGGCTCTAGTCCCTCACCCGCGGAGCTCGAAGGAGTCTTCCACTTAAGATGAATGAGTTAAAACAACGAACAAAATAATAATAATATGAACATGACTGGCCGCGCCCCCCGACCCCACGTTCCAATGGCTATCGCTATGAGGCTCGCCCAGCAGCCTTACACACAGCCTTCCTTAATCACCATGATAACCCCCCCCCCCCACACACACACACAACATGATGTTGCTTAGCATAATTCCCACATCCAAGTCCTTGTCCAGTGCAATATATTGTCATGTTAGAGTCAAATTCTTAACACTGGGGGTGTCATTGTCTTCGTGGAGGTCAGGAGTGGGTGGTGGTAAATCACAGACGATATATTTTTTATTTTACACTTTGCGGTATACCTAAGACACCCTCATGTCACTCAAGGCTACAGTGCACTCAAATAAACCGAAATTAACCCAACCTAACCTAATCCTAATCAAACCTAATGTATCTACTCTAACATAATCTACTTAATTTACCCTAACCCAATCTAACCTAACCGAACCACTTCCTAGATGGGAACAGATGTTATCATTGTCTTTGTGTATGATACTTTAAGGGAATCAAGTGCCACGAAGCTCTGAACTTTTATAACACTCGGTATTGTTACAAGACTAAACAGAAACCGGGCGAGAAATAATTATTTTATTGTAGTGGTTGATGCTGGCTGAATTCATTTCATATCTTATTATTCTTTTTTACCCTTTCACTTCCTCATTTCACACCATTTTGAACAGTTATTAACTAGAGTGCAGGAATAAGGAGGAGGAGTGGTCATAGTCTTGATTTATGGTAAACAATATTCAGTTCACACTCATGAGTCATTAATGTGATACAGTTCCGCCATCCTGTTTATTTTGTTTATCAGTGTTAGTACAGGCGGAAACCGGGGACCAGGAAACCTGTGGTGTTTGGTAGTGAGGGTCACACTGGATAACACCCTTCTCACGTGTGTCCGGACTAAGTAGGACTCGAACCCTTAACATAATAGAGAGAGATACGCCCGTTACAGCTGTACTAGGTATCTAAGAAAATCAGCGAATTTTATCTAACAAAGTCTTTCCTTTTACCAAACACAGTTTTAGTTTACGTAGTAATTAATTTCAATAATATTGTCACTGTATTTGTTAGTTTTTTATGTTTTTGATTGAACGACTTAGTCAATTATTAAAGAGTCCTGACCAGGCGTCTCTTTAAACAGCAGACGTCTTATTTATTAACAATTACTACTCAGTTCAAGAAAAAAATATGTAAGAGTACAGATAATCGCAGGATATTTCAGGACATTATTAATTAATGCTGAGCCGGGTCAGGGGGACATCATTAGCACAGTACTTGCAAACAGTACGTAACAAAGACGTAACCAATCGCCCAAGCGGCCAACGAGCCGATCAATGGTAAAGAGGATAAAACAAAAAGGAAAGCAAAACTGAACAGAGTAGCCTACTCACAACACCAAAGTTTATTCAATACCAGTCTTTTCTCTTCACTACGAGAATCTAATATGTGTTAGGAATTAACATTAACTCCTGATACATATTTATCGCCATTTTCATAATTTAAGCTATCGTAGTTTGTGCTCAAATCTTCCCCACACTTTGCATTATTATCGGAGCAGACTTATCGTATTTCATGCTAATATTCTGAGAATATCCCACAGTCGGAGTAAGAATATTCCCAAAACGAAATATTATATAACTGTCCACATAATACACCGAGTGATCTATACACGTCTCCTTCACCTGTCTCTCCCCGTCATAACTTATTATTTCCCCAACTCAGTAAGTCCTGCTCGCCCCTCCCTCCCCCTGACAAATTCACTGCTTCACCTGTCAACGGTAACTGATGACTCGTCATGACTCAAGGTCATGATATACTTCTATTGCTATGATGAATGACTTCCTGTGGCAGGTGAGTATAAATAAGCCAGCTGCTCGGTACGGTCATCACTTGCCTCACAGCACCACAACAACAATCATGGTGACCAACAGAGAACTTGTTTATATGAATTCTGTTAACTCTATTCACGAATGATCTTAGTTTATATACAACATGGATGAAACTCTTCCATGTCTTACTAGATTCTTGTAAAGTATAAAATATAACTACCTTTTCTTTTCCCAGATCCGTCGGGTGTTCGCCATCGTTGTTCTGTGCCTGGCTGTTGCCTCTGTCAGCTGTAGTGGAGGATACGGCGGTGGAGGTTTGGGAGGATTTGGTGGTAGTGGATTTAGCGGTGGAGGATTTGGCGGCGGTAGAGGATTTGGCGGCGGCTACGGTGGTGGATTTGGTGGTAGAGGTGGATTCGGAGGTCGAGGTGGATTCGGAGGTCGAGGTGGATTCGGAGGTAAGTGGATAATCATGATGTTAGCTCTTAATAATATGAAGGTAGAGCCTTGCAACAAGAATCATATCAACAATACTTACTAGTTCATGGCACCTTGACCTTTAACGTGAATTCTGTACAACATTATTTAATGTGTTTTACTAATGTGTTTGATTAAACACCTGAATCCACATACATATGTTATTATGTGATAAAGTCATTAGGATAAAGTTTATATTATATGGAAATACTATATTAACCCCACGAGTAAAATGAGCTCGATAAGACTTTAAGTCAGGGGTGGGCAATTATTTTTGATGGAGGACCACTTCATGAATGGTGGCACACTTCGCGGGCCACAGGTTAACAGCGACGAGCCAGTATTGCTGCTATGTCCACCCAACTTCCAAAATTGTCCTTTCTGTAATTAATAAGAATTTTTTTTCTGATTGCCAAATGCAGTGGCGGGCCACAGAAATAATTTGGCGGGCCAAATGTGGCCCGCGGGCCGCACTTTGCCCACCCCTGCTTTAAGTGATCGTACTCAATACGTTGATCAGTTGTACTCTAGGGATGTCTTACTTACCAGGCTTATTCATGGTGTTGAGGGGGTTGCCATGGTACTCAGATGTTATACGTTACTTTATTTCTTCTACAGGTGGTTTCATCGGCGGACGTTCCGGCGGCTATGGTAAGTAGTTGTTGTCGTTCATCCTTCTCTGTTACCTTTAGAACAAACACGAAATAGTCCAGTAATAATAAAACCGTAAAAAAAAAATAAAGTATTTTTCATCTTTAGGTTTACAAGTAATGTTATAAGATAAAGATCATGGTAGTGAGTAATAAATCTGTTATTTTTATTACCAAGAATCAAATGGATCTCAGAAATACATTAAATATTTCCATATTTACATAAATAAAATATTTCAGCATTATCTTTATTCTAACACAATATATTTCCTTCACAGGATATGGCAAGTAAACGAGAGTCTTCACTTCATCAACATCCAAGAGGAAGATCTTCGAACTTTTCCAGTCATTAAACACAACGACAAAATGAACTTGCTTATGTATAGTGCTTATATTATGAACAATAAATATTCTTGGCAGTGTTTCATATATGAATAATCATCTGGACTTAAAATAATCATGAGTACTTTTGAAAATAAAATCAATTTCCCAGCATATCATATGAGAGAAATGACTTATGTCCATCAATTAATTATTGAAAATATAATATTTCCTGCAGCTTTATGAAAATGATCACTCTAGATTCGTCTAGAAGAACGATAACTGCTACGTATATTGTTAATAAAATATCAGGTATATAACATGAATGGTGTTGATGACATAATTAATGTATTTATGAATAACACTCAAGCAACTTTCACCACGAGACTATAGATATTGTGCTCAGTGGTTCGTTCCTGGTATAATCATACTTCAGTGATTGTTTTCTCAGGTCACGGCTTCGTTTACGGCCTGTTTGACCTACATTACATGAATTCAATACATATGGATTAAAAAGTTCAAGTGAAACAATAATGACAGACTGACAACATTCTTGATACAGAAATGTTCACAACGCTGACCTCATCATTAGCGGACTTACATCGGTGGACTTAATTTGTTCTTTAGTATTCAAGGATGAAGATGCCATTCCTGGCGACAGAGAAAGAGAAAACCAAGACTAAAGATACAGAAATATAGGGTTTAAGTTACACAGAAACGACAACAGTTCGTCTATTGTAAAGTCGGTATCCTGGGACTATACAATTCTTGTAGCAAACATAACTCGCCTTACACTTCTTAACTATCCTATGGTGCCCAAACACACACTGACCAAATCTACCCTAACCACCTTACTTTTCTTTCCCCAATAATTTTTTAGAGTGTTTGGTTAAGATAGGTTTGGTTGATTCATTTCGGAGATTATTTAGCCCACAGTCTCTGACATGAATGTAAACAAACGAGCTCGTATGTCTTGTATGGACATTAAAACTATTTTTATTATCTAATTCGTCTTCAAATTTCCCGTCATTTAATTATCAAGTGATATGAAGGTCATTGAAAACTCACGAACAAACTTAAATCACATCCCCAAGTCTGTCAGTATAGAGGTGTAGTAACACCTGACCTTTGTCAACACCTGTTCGACCTCTTCGAAAATGAACCTTATTTCAAAATCGACGAACAGTTTCATTATCTATAAATTTCTCAGTATTTTCTATACCTAATTTATAACACTGAGACAGCAACAAACAAATTTTTAATCTATAATATGAATTTCAAAATATTTTAGCTTCATTATGAAATAAAAGTAAACTTTTACTCTACATAAGCTGTGATATAGGTGTAATTATTTAGAACTAAAAAACCCGAGACACTGAGCTGCCACACCCGACCGGGACATTTTAGTCACTGGTTCAGCAATGAACTCTTGAATTTCTGTCGTCTTCATTCCCGCTGATCAAATTTCAGTGAAGATGTAGTTTCTGAACCAAACAAACATTTACAATAGTTTCAGTTCCGCTAGATAATTTAAGGTGAGGTGGGTGAGGTCGTTTACTGCCTTAATGATATTTTTGTCAGATATTTGAAGCTGTTTCCTAGTAATGTAACCACTTATTCTTTTCTTAACTTCGAGCACTTACCTCAGTTTTACCCAGTGGTGTTTATTATGTTTCTGTGCTGGAGCTGCGATGCCTTATACAGGGCCGGATTCAGGAGTGGGCAAAGTGGGCAGCTGCCCAGGGGCCTCCACAATCTGGGGCCTCCACATATTACAATATTTTATTTATTTGTTTATTCATTGGATTATTTTTATTTTCATTCTTTAAAATTAATGTTTATCTATTCCATCACGTAAAACTATGTTCAGCAAGAAGCGTGATAGAAATTAGGCTAGCTACTCCTTGAAATTCATGAATACCTGGTTTTCCTATGAACTGTATATTTTTAATGAATGCTATTGTTTGTGTTGCTAATAATATATTTAGAATTCCACAAACATATATGGCTTCAAAATTCTCCAAAGAAGTGTTCAAATTTCAAAATTTTCCCGGGGGGCTTACAGCGCCCCCCGAACTCCCAGATGTTTAGGCTCGCTTCACTCGCCACCCCACCCTCTTGGGTAGTTATAATGAGGGGGGGCCTCCACAAAGAGGCTGCCCATGGGCCTCCGCAGGTCTAAATCCGGCACTGGCCTTATACCTGAAGCGTTAGTACAGGATCTCTAAACGTGTGGAAAGATCATCTCAGCCAGTGTGCCTCTTTGTGGACCATCTCTCTGCTATACGTGAACACTCACTCGGGGCAGACCTTCCCCTCACCCATGGACATCTCATGGTAACTGAATAGTGATCTCTTCTACCCACGGTTCGACTTTATTGTCTCTGAATCTTCGTTTGTTTTCAAGAGGAACTCGAGTTTTCAGTCACACCCGACAGGACTGTTGTTCTCCAGTTAAGGCCACGTAAGATCAATTTCAACTTTAATTGTTATTATTCCTCAATTGATCGTCTGATATTTGATTTATTTATGTATCAATGGGTTTTCTGTCTAGCTTAGATGATTTTATCATTTAAAGATTTGATAACGTGAGATAAATAATACAATGAATCCATAAACATATGTATTTATTTATCTCTGAGTTTTACAGTTCTTACGTCGAGTTTGTTGGTTTACATTTTTCTGAGTTGTAATGTGATTGATTCTCGGTCTAACTACTCCAGGATTCCATTTAACTTAATCATTTGTTCCTTTATAGATATTAACCAAATATTTTATTAACAACACCATCTTAAGAAGTCCTTGAAAGAATATTGTTTATATTTTTATATTTTTTTTTATTGTAGAAACCAAGACTAGTGAACACTACTTTAAGACGCTGCAGCCACCCGAAGCATCAAGACACGTACACAACAAAAACTCGACTCGTATATGAACACAAAAATTAGTCACTTTGATCTAATAAAACAAAGAAAACTAGTTATCTCTTTTCATTATCTATGTATTACAGCATTATGTTATCTTAAAATAATCTAGAGTCTTTTATCTATCACATGTTTACATTACTAGGTATTCCGTTTATCTCAATATTTATAGAGAATTACGTCGTCTGGGTTTAAGAATATAACCTGAAGGAGCCACGATATAGTTACCTCACCCACAAAAACAACCTCTAAGCAATGAAAGTATTACAAGACTCTGGTAATGTACTGAAAATGTCATCACTACCCTGGCTGTCTCACCGCCTCAGTCACCTCGCCACCATTTTCCTAACACACTGTACCTTCCTCCTTCCCTCGCCAGAAAAACTCCCTACTCCATAATGTTAAGGTTTATTTTAATGACTCAACATGATCCTAGGTCGTGACCTGATTTTAACATTTACCTGAGTGACTTCCTGCGGCAGGTGAGTATAAATAAGCCAGCTGCTCGGTACGGTCGTCACTTGTCTCACAGCACCACAACAACAATCATGGTGACCAACAGAGAACTTGTTTATATGAATTCTGTTAACTCTATTTACGAATGATCTTAGTTTATATACAACATGAGTCACACTTGACAGTAAACAGAGAGGGTAATTAAAAACTTTCTTTATTCCAGATCCGTAAAGTGTTCGCCATCGTTGTTCTTTGCCTGGTGGTAGGCTGTGTTAGCGCTGGCAGAATTGGAGGTGGTTATGGTGGTGGTGGATTTGGTGGTGGAGGATTTGGCGGTGGTGGATTTGGCGGTGGAGGATATGGCGGTGGTGGATTTGGCGGTGGAGGATATGGCGGTGGTGGATATGGCGGTGGAGGATTTGGCGGTGGTGGATTTGGCGGTGGAGGATATGGCGGTGGAAGATATGGCGGTGGGTACGGAAGTGGAGGATTTGGAGGTGGATACGGTGGAAGTAGATACGGAAACGGTGGATTTGGAGGTATGTGGATTATCATGAGTTACCTCTTAATTATTGTTTATCCGCAATATGCGTTCAGTGGAAAATTACAATACTCCTTTCACTTTACTAAAGTAAATTTCAGTAAAAAATTACTCATAAATAAATTCTACTACTTACCACGCCAATACCTAACTTGAAGTAAAGAATAATATTTTATACCGAAACAAAAACTAATCTTTAATTTACTTTTCACCTTCGTCACACAGGTGGTTTCAACAACGGAGGTTTCGGCAGCTATGGTAAGTTAGGTCTGTCATAAATTCCCCTAACTTTGAAAACAAACTAAAGTTGAATAATTTTGTAAACGAAAATATATAAGAAATTCACATATCTATTATTATTGTTGATTTACACGTAATGTTTTGAAGAGGATTTGGAGGCAGTGGTGGAGGTGGTTATGGGAGTGTGTATTTCAGATCTGTGTATATTAACCTGATGATATTATACGATTGGTATATAATATTTAAGTGTCTATGGTTTGGATCATACAAGATGTGACTAAGTTCAATACAATGTATTTCCTCGACAGGATACGGCAAGTAAACACGAGTCTTCATTTCATCAACATCCAAGAGGAAGATCTTCAAACTTTTACTCTTTAAAGATTGAATAAACTGAACTAGTTTATATTCTAACATTAACAATAAATATTCTTGACTGTATTTTACATTTCTCTCATCCTTTCGTACTTAATGGAGTCTTTTATCATTATAATATTGTTTAAGAACTATATATATATTTTTTCAATACAAATGAGGACATAAGAAAGATAAAAACTTCTCATATTAGCCATTTGTGATGGTGGTAAACGGAGGAACTTTCGACCATGAACAGTGTACATATATTAGTGACACAACATTAAGAGAGAGAGAGAGAGAGAGAGAGAGAGAGAGAGAGAGAGAGAGAGAGAGAGAGAGAGGTTATGAGACACTCACCATACAATGACACATCAAGTGGGTGACGTAAATAAGACTGATTACACTCGACAGTCTGTCTAAGGAAACTTTAGGTTATGTTAAGAAACTGAACCTGAATAAATAAACACAAATTCAGTAGAAAAATTTTTGAACTTATAATTCTTAAATGTTATGTAATAAACTGAAAGATGTTCCCGTATAAGGGATTTTGTTGTGCCAGTTATCTCTATAAAGTGTAGTTCTAAGGGAATATTGACCGGGGCAAATTGTGTACCCGAGCCAAACACTCCTCACTGACGAAGCCTATAGCTTATTCTTGATCTCCCTTGTATATTTGGGTCAATATGACACAGCAGTATAAGAGAGAAATAACCAGTATGTTATGACATAAGTTGAGTCAAATTTGTTTATTGATGCTTCGTATTTTTCATAATGTACAGTATAATTATATACACTGTAAAGATTTATTGATAATCAGGAAATACATAACCTTAAATAACCCAATATACTACTTAACATTTTATAAACTAAAAAAAAATATATCTAAAACAGAGGAGTAAGCAATTTGCGTCAAATAAAGTACAAAGAAACGGAAAGGGGACGTGATTGCTGCCCGTATCATCATTGGGTATGACTTTGCTTGGGAGATTGGTATCCCGCATCCCCTGAGCAACGCTCTTGTGCATTATGCAGAAGACCCGACAGCAGCACCCTTATCCACTACCTCCTAAGATGTCCCCACACACAACGCTTCCGTGACGCCTGCTGGACCACCACTCCACGACCCCCTGACGGAGACACGATGATCCTCCCCATACTGGCCAGATATTTTGTAAATAATATTGATTATGTGTTAAAGGAATATCCTTCCTTCCTTAGGCTTTAGTAAGCCCCTTTATAATATTTATACTGTATATACTTTTCACACTTGCCAGATGCTTCTGGTGTCATTGTACAGGGGTACCTAGTGACAGCACTAGGATCCCGCTTCCTCTATCAAGGAATAAACAATTAAAATTGAAATTGAAATTGAAAGAAACTTGTGAGCTTCGCTAATAATAAATAAACATTTCTCATTTTCTTTCTTTTTCGAGGAATTTAAGTTATTCGTAAACTCGCTCCAAAAACTAGCTATACAAAATTGTATTGAGAAAGTATAACACAACGGACGAATTATTTTGACAACCTTACCAAGACAACAGGAGTCGCGGAGTTCCTTTTGAAATTTATCTGACCTTTCCGTAAAGATACTTTTTAGAGTGTGTACAAGTAAATAAATCAATTAACAGATTCTTGTCCTCCATTTTACACAACTTACTATACATTGAAAAAATTTTAACGTGAAGAAGCAGACTGACTCTACTCTGAGAATTTTCTGTTGACCAGATGCTTCCTTACCAAGCGTGAGAACAACAGACCAAGTTATATTATTTCCACCTATATGGAGTGTATAGAAAAATATAGGCGAACACTACCCTTTGTTAGGTAAGTTTAGGAGATCTTCACCTCACGGAAGTGCTGCAACAAGTAACTGGATGTCCTGGTGTCTCCAGTGTGTATAAATATTACCCTAAAAAAAATTTCTAGTCCTATAAGATTCTAAACCGAAAAGGAAAAAAAAATATCCCAGTTGTTTTGCCAATTTCCCGCCTAAAGTAAAAATCATCTATTCTTTACTCAGAATCACAAGCTTGAGTAGTGATGTCAGTGTGTTCATGTGTTATTTTCTCAAACATTAACAGAAAGTCTGACATTGATCAACTGTTTACACTCACACCAGACTCCTCGGCTTCTTTATATTTGTTAACTGAGTAAGACAATAAAGATGTACAGAAGGTTAAGGTGAACATCGCTTCAAGGTATTCCTGGGACCAGTGTGTGTGTGGCTCCCCTACGTTGATGATTTCTGTAGCAAAATGATAGACTGTTTCTGGTAGGATACACTCTTACGTCTTCCTAAAAAACTCATAAATTAAGATAACACCAAACTCCATGAATGTCTTATGGTAATTAATAATATTCTGTGGTTGACCATAGCAATGAGTCTTTTCATCTTAAATCTTCAAGAAACAATAAATTCCTTATGCTTCTATTTGTCTATGCTCTTATTTCATTTAATGTGATCAGTAATTATACATCTAAAATTCTTCAATACTTCCTGGAATAGGTTGGACATTATTGCCTCAATCAAAAATTTTTAAGTGATACTTGAGAACTAAATCTTCTTAGGTCCTTCCATAGCAGTACTTAACAAAAATTCCTGGTAATACACAGACTTCTCTCTTCACTTCTGCTCCCGACTGTCTCACCCCTCACCAATATTTTCTCAAGTCACTACCTTCCTCCTCCCCCCCCCCTACCCCCTACTTCATATGTTAAGGTTTACTGTGATGACTCAACATGACCCAAGGCCGTGACCTCTTTCTTGCTATTGTTTCCCTGAGTGACTTCCTGCGGCAGGTGAGTATAAATAAGCCAGCTGCTCGGTACGGTCGTCACTTGTCTCACAGCATCACAACAACAAACATGGTGACCAAGAGAGAATTTTCTTAAATATATATTCTGTTAACAGCGGTCATGAATTATCTTGGCTTGTGAACAACATCAAAGTCTCTTGTGAACTACAAACCAAATTGAGACAAACAGTGACTATAAGGGAATTATTTTTCTTTACAGCTCCGCAGGATTTTCGCCATCGTTCTTCTGTGCCTCGCTGTAGCCTCCTTGGTTAGCGCCGGCAGAATTGGCGGTGGCTACGGTGGTGGAGGATTTGGTGGTGGCGGAGGATTTGGCGGTGGCGGAGGATTTGGCGGTGGCGGAGGATTTGGCGGTGGTGGTGGATTTGGAGGTGGTGGATTTGGAAGAAGATATGGTGGTGGCGGCGGTGGACATGGAGGTGGATTTGGAGGTGCGTTCATTCTTCGTCATTGCTTGAGAATATATCATATAATTGTCTAACTGTATAATATCTAGTAATAAACTTTTTTTATTTTGTTAACTTTAATATTGTCTACAGGTGGTAATGGAGGCTTCGGTGGCGGATTTGGAGGTGGTCGAGGAGGTTATGGCGGTGAGTATAATTAGTCCTTACTACTTTAACCAGCGATCAACAGTAACAACCTGGAATATAATCAACACATATTCTTGTACTGGTACAAATGCAATATATTAACTCTATTTACTAACATAATTTATCTCCTCCGCAGGATACGGCAAGTAAACGAGTCTTCACTTCAACACACAATTCGAATTCTCTATCTTCTAACTTTTCCAGTCATTAAAAACTGTTATCAAGTGAACATTTTTTATGTGTCGTCTTTAATATGAACAATAAATATTTTTGGCAGTATTTCCTCTTTATCTTATCATCTGTGACGTAAAACAACCTGTTGACTCATGACTTTATATGAAGACATTTGTTACATTATGAAAGATATATAATAAATATATAAACTGTAACACAAGTAACTTTTAATGTTTGTTTATAAGAAGGAACTCCTATACCAGAGCAGTGTTTACTGTGTGTATTACTGACAGAGTTAAATTATGGTGGTGTCTCTTATTATTTACATTAGTTCTAACATAACATAACATAACCTAGGTAAGGTTTGGTTAACAAAGCCAAGTCAGTTTTACTATATAAACCAAATTTTCCATGGCAATATCAACACATAATTTTTTTCGGTACTTTACAAGAGGCGCCTGACTTAGGCACATACATGTAACCACAATGACAAATTAAACGTAACGCTGCCAAGCGATTTCGTGAACTTACATACTCAAGGAAAAATATTTCCGTGAGACTTTATTTTATTTTCAAATGCTAGCACAGCGCGGCCCTCGTTAGGACGCTGTGTTGGTACGACGTTGCCCCTGATGAGTCTTGGGTACCTGACCTGAGAATTAATTAGATATAGCTTGATCAATTTGTGCACATTAACATCTTGACAGATTCACCTTAGAGAAGTAGTGGGCCAGGGACTGTAATAGCAGTGTATATATTTCCTGTTTCTGTACATAAGAATTGGGGCCGCTGAAGTTACTTCCTAGGGGGTGGCTCTCAGCGGAGGTGTCAGAGTTGTGTTTAATAGTCATCTTGTGAGTTAGAGTTCCAGGATGGAGTGCATTATAGTTGAAATGGTTGACCGATAACAATGTTGACTGTTTCTAAAACTTGGACGTCGACTTACCAGTGATAATAATTAATTTTTTTTTTAATTATTTATTGGGCACTACCCTACATCCTTGTGTAAGGTGAAGCGCAGAAGCGTTTGCAGTGCCCAACAGGGAAGCATGCTAAGTTCATGCTTGCCTTTATGTCTCATGAGTTAAGGGCGTAGAAGCCTGAAGAATCAAGGGTATAGAAGCCTGAGGCGTCAATGGTTTATGTCATCAAGTTATTGGAAGCTCCAACAACTTGTCCGTGAATACGAATTCGCAACTTTCGATTTACACCAGATACCTACTTTACTGCTAGGTGAACAGGGAATAATTACAATCTAAACGTAATCTGTGTGTGTTCATTACCGCTTCTGTCTTCTTTGTAAGTAAATGATAGCTGTGATTATTTATAATCTTAATTATTATAACGAGTAAAACATTATATGCTGATCCCATCTTAAGAGTGATAAAATAAAGGTTAAATTTAATGGTTCAAACTGAATCATGTAAAACTAATATATATAATTATTTACTCATTTACCTTATATCATATTGAGGTTAATGATCAACATTAAATGTTCCCTTTCATGTAAATATTATTCTTGAAATATCAGTTATGGTAATCTTGTCTAGATCTAAAGGTCATCATAAAAACTCTTAATGACAGATGACTTATTTACATGAAGTGCCAGCAAATATTACATCACGCCTTCGAAGTTCTCCTACTTATTGTCTCTAAAATACAAAATATATAACTTATTAAGAAGTACTTTTATTAAATTTCAAACTTTTTTCATTTCTCACAATAGACACATTAATAATTTCCTCGTATATGGAAAGAGAAAAAATGAAGAGATACTATTTAAAGTGTTTAGTGATTTCTTAAAGTACCAGAGGATAAGAGATATGTGAAATACTGCCAAGAATATTTATTGTTCATAATATAATAAACACTATACATAATAAAGTTCATTTTGTCGTTGTGTGTAATGACTGGAAAAGTTCGAAGATCTTCCTCTTGGATGTTGATGAAGTGAAGACTCTCGTTTACTTGCCGTATCCTGTGAAGGAAATATATTGTGTTATAATAAATAAATATAATCTCACATTATATTTGTACCAGTACAAGAATATGTGTTGATTATATTCCAGGTTGTTACTGTTGATCGCTGGTTAAAGTAATAAGGACTAATTATACTCACCGCCATAACCTCCTCGACCACCTCCAAATCCGCCGCCTCCATTACCACCTGTAGACAATATTAAAGTTAACAAAAGCAAAAAAGTTTATCACTAGATATTATATAATTAGACAATTATATGATATATTCTCAAGCAATGACGAAGAATGAACGCACCTCCAAATCCACCTCCATGTCCACCGCCGCCGCCACCACCATATCTTCTTCCATATCCACCTCCGCCAAATCCGCCACCACCGCCAAATCCTCCGCCACCGCCAAATCCTCCGCCACCGCCAAATCCTCCACCACCGTAAATTCTGCCGGCGCTAACCAAGGAGGCTACAGCGAGGCACAGAAGAACGATGGCGAAAATCCTGCGGAGCTGTAAAGAAAAATAATTCCCTTATAGTCACTGTTTGTCTCAATTTGATTTGTAGTTCACAAGAGACTTTGATGTTGTTCACAAGCCAAGATAATTCATGACTGCAGTTAACAGAATATATATAAGAAAATTCTCTCTTGGTCACCATGTTTGTTGTTGTGGTGCTGTGAGACAAGTGACGACCGTACCGAGCAGCTGGCTTATTTATACTCACCTGACACAGGAAGTCACTCAGGGAAACAATAGCAAGAAAGAAGTCACGTCCTTGAGTCATGTTGAGTCATCACAATAAACCTTAACATATTAAGTAGGGGGTAGGGGGGGGGGTGAGGAGGAAGGTAGTGACTTGGGGAAAATATTGGTGAGGGGGTGAGACAGTCGGGAGGTTTAGATGGATGATTCTGGCAGTATTATGGTAATATGAATATTGTATTACTTTCCCGGGAAGAAGGAATAATCATTACACAAGGATCGTTCATAGAGTTTGTGTTTGAGACGATCATGCTCCAATTTCCCACGGATATATTTGTGAATTTATACTATATAATTACTCTTCACATTAGTTCAAGTGTAAGGAAATACGTGTAGCAGCAGATGCTTAGAAAGACATTCTAAACTGAAGATAATAGAATATAATCAGTAGGGGAGTCTTAGGACAACCAGAAGATAGTATTATTAAAGTCTGTTTTGTCTTCATCTGTACCGGAGTTATGAAAATTGGACACCGGAGGTGGACTGAACTCTGAAGTAGGAAATTAAAGGGAAATATTTCGTGTAAGAAACTCAGAGAAGAAGAGAGTCGGGATGGTAAAGAGGCGACTAACGGCCACCTGCGGGAAGATCACTGATTACATATTTATTCAAGATCAGATTTTGAAATACCTGATCACTTTATTGTATTTTCACCTGTCTTCCATATTCTACTTTTACATTTTATTTAATCCGTTATTAAAATTAATGTTGATTTTGAAGGTGTAGTAATAAGTCTTCCAAATTTATCTTTCGATTTCTTCAGATTTTGTGTTGACTCTAATGGTGGTAAATCCAGTTCAGGTTTTAGTTTCAAATTTCTCTTTCATTTGTTGTTATCGCGTAAATTATTTCAGTGAATGAAAGGACTATTTTCCTCTTCATGTTTCAGGACACAAACTCTGTAAACTCTTGAGAGCATCAGACAAGGATTCATTACTTTTGGGGAGTTAGAGAGGACGTATTATCGCTTCTTTACGGCGACTGTGTAATAAAGTGTTTCTCGGCATTGCTCCAGCAGACGCCACCTGTTAAATATTTCCAGACCTGAAACCTAACTTGAGAACTGGAAAGTCGGCCAAATAAACGTGGCTATCCATTAAATTTCTTTCAAAACATTTACTCAGAAACAACAGCACAAGCATCAGTCCGGGTACAGGTACACAAGGTACTATTGTGTTATCATATTTTACCTCAACTTGTGATTCTCGCTTTCTGCTTCTAACTTATTAATGTTCTTTGTAGTATAGACTAAAGAAATCCTAAACCTTTAAATCTTGAGAGATTAAGTAAAGAAACAACGATATTGATTAATTTTTTGTATTGTTATCATCTTTTCTACATTAATCACACAACACACTCAAGTTACATTCAGCTTGTAGGTGTAAATATACCTGACAGGTTGTTTAATAGAGAAGCTTACCTTAGGCTATAGGTCTACAGCAGCTCGTCATTAATTTGGGAGTATCTGCTCCGAGCATCTCCGACTGTCTCACCCCTCACCAATATTTTCTCAAGTCACTACCTTCCTCCTCCCCCCCCCTACCCCCTACTTCATATGTTAAGGTTTACTGTGATGACTCAACATGACCCAAGGCCGTGACCTCTTTCTTGCTAATATTTCCCTGAATGACTTCCTGCGGCAGGTGAGTATAAATAAGCCAGCTGCTCGGTACGGTCGTCACTTGTCTCACAGCACCACAACAACAAACATGGTGACCAAGAGAGAATTTTCTTATATATATTCTGTTAACAGCGGTCATGAATTATCTTGGCTTGTGAACAACATCAAAGTCTCTTGTGAACTACAAATCAAATTGGGACAAACATTGACTATAAGGGAATTATTTTTCTTTACAGCTCCGCAGGATTTTCGCCATCGTTCTTCTGTGCCTCGCTGTAGCCTCCTTGGTTAGCGCCGGCAGAATTGGCGGTGGCTACGGTGGTGGAGGATTTGGCGGTGGCGGAGGATTTGGCGGTGGCGGATTTGGCGGTGGTGGTGGATTTGGCGGTGGTGGATTTGGAAGAAGATATGGTGGTGGCGGCGGTGGACATGGAGGTGGATTTGGAGGTGCGTTCATTCTTCGTCATTGCTTGAGAATATATGATATAATTGTCTAATTATATAATATCTAGAAATAAACTTTATTTGCTTTTGTTAACTTTAATATTGTCTACAGGTGGTAATGGAGGCTTCGGTGGCGGATTTGGAGGTGGTCGAGGACGTTATGGCGGTGAGTATAATTAGTCCTTACTACTTTAACCAGCGATCAACAGTAACAACCTGGAATATAATCAACACATATTCTTGTACTGGTACAAATGCAATATATTAACTCTATTTACTAACATAATTTATCTCCTCCGCAGGATACGGCAAGTAAACGAGTCTTCACTTCAACACACAATTCGAATTCTCTATCTTCTAACTTTTCCAGTCATTAAAAACTGTTATCAAGTGAACATTTTTTATGTGTCGTCTTTAATATGAACAATAAATATTTTTGGCAGTATTTCCTCTTTATCTTATCATCTGTGACGTAAAACAACCTGTTGATTCATGACTTTATATGAAGACATTTGTTACATTATGAAAGATATATAATAAATATATAAACTGTAACACAAGTAACTTTTAATGATTGTTTATAAGAAGGAACTCCTATACCAGAGCAGTGTTTACTGTGTGTATTACTGACATAGTTAAATTATGGTGGTGTCTCTTATTATTTACATTGGTTCTAACATAACATAACATAACATAACATAACATAACCTAGGTAAGGTTTGGTTAACAAAGAAAAGTCAGTTTTACTATATAAACCAAATTTTCCATGGCAATAACAACACACAAATTTTTTCGGTACTTTACAAGAGGCGCCTGACTTAGGCACATACATGTAACCACAATGACAAATTAAACGTAAAGCTGCCAAGCGATTTCGTGAACTTACATACTCAAGGAAAAATATTTCCGGGAGACTTTATTTTATTTTCAAATGCTAGCACAGCGCGGCCCTCGTTAGGACGCTGTGTTGGTACGACGTTGCCCCTGATGAGTCTTGGGTACCTGACCTGAGAATTAATTAGATATAGCTTGATCAATTTGTGCACATTAACATCTTGACAGATTCACCTTAGAGAAGTAGTGGGCCAGGGACTGTAATAGCAGTGTATATATTTCCTGTTTCTGTACATAAGAATTGGGGCCGCTGAAGTTACTTCCTAGGGGGTGGCTCTCCGAGGACGTGTGAGAGTTGTGTTTAATAGCCATCTTGTGAGTTAGAGTTCCAGGATGGAGTGCATTATAGTTGAAATGGTTGACCGATAACAATGTTGACTGTTTCTAAAACTTGGACGTCGACCTCCCAGTGATAATAATTATTTTTTTTTATTATTTATTGAGCACTACCCTCCATCCTTGTGTAAGGTGAAGCGCAGAAGCGTTTACAGCGCCCAACAGGGAAGCATGCTAAGTTCATGCTTGCCTTTATGTCTCATGAGTTAAGGGCGTAGAAGCCTGAAGAATCAAGGGCATAAAAGCCTGAGGCGTCAATGGTTTATGTCATCAAGTTATTGGAAGCTCCAACAACTTGTCCCTGAATACGAATTAGCAACTTTCGAGTTACACCAGATACCTACTTTACTGCTAGGTGAACAGGGAATAATTACAATGTAAACGTAATCTGTGTGTGTTCATTACCGCTTCTGGGTTATGTCTTCTTTGTAAGTAAATGATAGCTGTGATTATTTATAATCTTAATTAATATAACGAGTAAAACATTATATGCTGATCCCATCTTAAGAGTGATAAAATAAAGGTTAAATTTAATGGGTCACACTGAATCATGTAAAACTAATATATATAATTATTTACTCATTTACCTTATATCATATTGAGGTTAATGATCAACATTAAATGTTCCCTTTCATGTAAATATTAGACTTGAAATATCAGTTATGGTAATCTTGTCTAGATCTTAATGTCATCATAAAAACTCTTAATGACAGATGACTTATTTACATGAAGTGCCAGCAAATATTACATCACGCCTTCGAAGTTCTCCTACTTATTGTCTCTAAAATACACAATATATAACTTATTAAGAAGTACTTTTATTAAATTTCAAACATTTTAATTTCTCACGATAGACACATTAATAATTTCCTCGTATTAGGAAAGAGAAAAAATCAAGAGATACTATTTAAAGTGTTTAGTGATTTCTTAAAGTACCAGAGGATAAGAGATATGTGAAATACTGCCAAGAATATTTATTGTTCATAATATAATAAACACTATACATAATAAAGTTCATTTTGTCGTTGTGTGTAATGACTGGAAAAGTTCGAAGATCTTCCTCTTGGATGTTGATGAAGTGAAGACTCTCGTTTACTTGCCATATCCTGTGAAGGAAATATATTGTGTTATAATAAATAAATATAATCTCACATTATATTTGTACCAGTACAAGAATATGTGTTGATTATATTCCAGGTTGTTACTGTTGATCGCTGGTTAAAGTAATAAGGACTAATTATACTCACCGCCATAACCTCCTCGACCACCTCCAAATCCGCCGCCTCCATTACCACCTGTAGACAATATTAAAGTTAACAAAAGCAAAAAAGTTTATCACTAGATATTATATAATTAGACAATTATATGATATATTCTCAAGCAATGACGAAGAATGAACGCACCTCCAAATCCACCTCCATGTCCACCGCCGCCACCACCATATCTTCTTCCAAATCCACCTCCGCCAAATCCGCCACCACCGCCAAATCCTCCACCACCGCCAAATCCTCCGCCACCGCCAAATCCTCCACCACCGTAAATTCTGCCGGCGCTAACCAAGGAGGCTACAGCGAGGCACAGAAGAACGATGGCGAAAATCCTGCGGAGCTGTAAAGAAAAATAATTCCCTTAAAGTCACTGTTTGTCTCAATTTGGTTTGTAGTTCACAAGAGACTTGGTTGTTGTTCACAAGCCAAGATAATTCATGACTGCAGTTAACAGAATATATATATATCAGAAAATTCTCTCTTGGTCACCATGTTTGTTGTTGTGGTGCTGTGAGACAAGTGACGACCGTACCGAGCAGCTGGCTTATTTATACTCACCTGCCACAGGAAGTCACTCAGGAAAACAATAGCAAGAAAGAAGTCACGTCCTTGATTCATGTTGAGTCATCACAGTAAACCTTAACATATTAAGTAGGGGGTAGGGGGGGGGGGGGGGGGAGGAAGGTAGTGACTTGGGGAAAAAATTGGTGAGTGGTGAGACAGTCGGGAGGTTTAGATGGATGATTCTGGCAGTATTATGGTAATATGAATATTGTATTACTTTCCCGGGAAGAAGGAATAATCATTACACAAGGATCGTTCATAGAGTTTGTGTTTGAGACGATCATGTTCCAATTTCCCACGGATATATTTGTGAATTTATACTATATAATTACTCTACACATTAGTTCAAGTGTAAAGAAATACGTGTAGCAGCAGATGCTTAGAAAGACATTCTAAACTGAAGATAATAGAATATAATCAGTAGGGGAGTCTTAGGACAACCAGAAGATAGTATTATTAAAGTCTGTTTTGTCTTCATCTGTACCGGAGTTATGAAAATTGGACACCGGAGGTGGACTGTGACTCTGAAGTAGGAAATTAAAGGGAAATATTTCGTGTAAGAAACTCAGAGAAGAACAAAGTCGGATGGTAAAGAGGCGACTAACGCCCATCTGCGGGAAGATCACTGATTACATATTTATTCAAGATCAGATTTTGAAATACCTGATCACTTTATTGTATTTTCACCTGTCTTCCACATTCAACTTTTACATTTTATTTAATCCTTTTTTAAAATTAATATTGATTTTGAAGGTGTAGTAATAAGTCTTCCAAATTTATCTTTCGATTTCTTAAGATTTTGTGTTGACTCTAATGGTGGTAAATCCAGTTCAGGTTTTAGTTTCTAATTTCTCTTTCATTTGTTGTTATTGCGTAAATTATTTCAGTGAATGAAAGGACTATTTTCCTCTTCATGTTTCAGGACACAAACTCTTTAAACTCTTGAGAGCATCAGACAAGGATTCATTACTTTTGGGGAGTTAGAGAGTACGTAATATCGCTTCTTTACGGCGACTGTGTAATAAAGTGTTTCTCGGCATTGCTCCAGCAGACGCCACCTGTTAAATATTTCCAGACCTGAAACCTAACTTGAGAACTGGAAAGTCGGCCAAATAAACGTGGCTATCCATTTAATTTCTTTCAAAACATTTACTCAGAAACAACAGCACAAGCATCAGTCCGGGTACAGGTACACAAGATACTATTGTGTTATCATATTTTACCTCAACTTGGGATTCTCGCTTTCTGCTTCTAACTTATTAATGTTCTTTGTAGTATAGACTAAAGAAATCCTAAACCTTTAAATTTTGAGAGATTAAGTAAAGAAACAACGATATTGATTAATTTTTTGTATTGTTATCATCTTTTCTACATTAATCACACAACACACTCAAGTTACATTCAGCTTGTAGGTGTAAATATACCTGACAGGTTGTTTAATAGAGAAGCTTACCTTAGGCTATAGGTCTACAGCAGCTCGTCATTAATTTGGGAGTATCTGCTCCGAGCATCTCCGACTGTCTCACCCTGTCACCAATATTTTCTCAAGTCACTACCTTCCTCCTCACCCGCCCCCCTTCCCCTACTTCATATGTTAAGGTTTACTGTGATGACTCAACATGACCCAAGGCCGTGACCTCTTTCTTGCTATTGTTTCCCTGAGTGGCTTCCTGCGGCAGGTGAGTATAAATAAGCCAGCTGCTCGGTACGGTCGTCACTTGTCTCACAGCACCACAACAACAAACATGGTGACCAAGAGAGAATTTTCTTATATATATTCTATTAACTGCAGTCATGAATTATCTTGGCTTGTGAACAACATCAAAGTCTCTTGTGAACTACAAACCAAATTGAGACAAACAGTGACTATAAGGGAATTATTTTTCTTTACAGCTCCGCAGGATTTTCGCCATCGTTCTTCTGTGCCTCGCTGTAGCCTCCTTGGTTAGCGCCGGCAGAATTTACGGTGGTGGAGGATTTGGCGGTGGTGGAGGATTTGGCGGTGGCGGAGGATTTGGCGGTGGTGGCGGATTTGGCGGAGGTGGATTTGGAAGAAGATATGGTGGTGGCGGCGGTGGACATGGAGGTGGATTTGGAGGTGCGTTCATTCTTCGTCATTGCTTGAGAATATATCATATAATTGTCTAATTATATAATATCTAGTGATAAACTTTTTTGCTTTTGTTAACTTTAATATTGTCTACAGGTGGTAATGGAGGCGGCGGATTTGGAGGTGGTCGAGGAGGTTATGGCGGTGAGTATAATTAGTCCTTATTACTTTAACCAGCGATCAACAGTAACAACCTGGAATATAATCAACACATATTCTTGTACTGGTACAAATATAATGTGAGATTATATTTATTTATTATAACACAATATA